GGGACGGGCCGGCTGCTGGACCAATTTCCCGATTTTGGAGAAGTCTTTGTTGTCTATGATGCTCAAGAGCGGATATTGCCACGTGTTGTCATCAATTCCCATGCTGAGGGTGGCGGCTATGATGCGTATCTGATAGACTATGGAGAGCATATTCGTTTGGCCGACGACGATGTCATTCTGGCAATACCCAACCAAGTCAAAACCCTACCAGCTGAGGCCATCAGGTGCTATGTGCGCAATCGTGGAGTGGTCAGCATGTCACAGTTTATCTATAAGAATATACAGCTGCGTATCCTGGTGAACAGTGGCAACGATCTGGAAGTGGAAATCATTGACGATGGACCGTGCGAAGCGTCGACAGCTTCCTCAATTCATATCGATAATCCGGACATAGCTCGTAAAGATGAAGCGAATAGYATCCCAAATATGAGTACASAGCAAGAGCCGACCAAATCAATTCAAAAACTGTCYCCAGAGGATTTGGAAATGCTGGAGCATGTTGAGTGCAGCACCAGCAATGCGCTCAAAGCTGTGCTGGGCTATATACCAACAGATGAGAAACGTATTTGCCGACACTACGATCCAAAGATCAACGGCTGCTTTAAAGGTACTGAAGCCTCCACTGACTCGCTGATAACCAAACGAATGTCCACCTAAATCTTTAATCTTATATATTATTCAATTTTAGGATCCAATTGCCGTCTGTTGCATCAGCCTTTTGCTCCGCATGGCGTGACCAAGGACGTCGAGCTGGTTGAGCCGCTGCCCGAGACTATTTATACATCTGAAGCTCCCAAAGAGCTGGGCAGCACCATACGCGTGCTGGTCACGTATATCAGCAGTCCGACCGAGGTGTATGTGCAGTTCGTGGATGATGCGGCGCCGCCTCTGGTGTGGAACAAGAAAGATGTGCCCGAATCGCAGTGCACTTTCAAGCGTCCGCCGCGTCTATTGGACATGGTGTTGGCGCTTTACAGCGATGACTGCTACTATCGCGCCCAGATCATTGAGGAGATCGATGGAATATTTAAGATCTTCTATGTGGACTATGGTAATACAGAGTTTGTTACCATTAGATCGCTGGCGCGGTGCACTGATGATATTAGCCTTAAGCCGCACCAGACCAATAATTGTTTCATTGGCGGCATTAAGCGCTGCTCATTGTCCACCCAGCGACAAAGCACCGAATGCGTGGAGTTTCTCAAAAGYAGAATCCTTAACACAGAGTTAGAGGTCAAGCTGATTAGCCAAATGCCCGATGGTTATGTGATCAAGTTTATGGATCCGTATGCTGATTTGCCCAGGCAGATGATCAAACGCGGCTACGTGGAGCCAGTATTAGCTACTAGCTCTAATTTGAACGAAGCTTGACC